TAGCATACTGTGTTCCTGATGGCACTCCCTCTGGTGCTCATTCCCACTTCTGTTTGCATATAAGGACATCTCTTTGGCATGTGCTACCCTTAAATGCAGCAATAGATTTTGGTGAGAGTGGACGGAGGGTGACAGTTTACCTTCTTACATCTCGTTCTCCAGAGGACAAATGGCCTGAAGGTCTAATAGCTGTGCAGGTTACCTAGGAGCAGAGTAGCTACCACACAACAGCTCAGGTGAATTCTCATGTGTGTCCTGTATTATGGAGTGCCTCACACAGACCAGCTCATGTGACCCTTTAACCAGACCTATTAGGTGGCTTAACCCATTTTATTGATAAGCAAACTAAGGCTTAGAGGTTGCACGCCTAGTAAACAGCCAAGTCAAGTATGTACTCTCTGGAGTGCATGCTCTAGCCATCGTACTTCCCCTAGGGAATGTGCCTACCCTGTCTCAGTGCCCTCAATGTCCTCTGTTCAGCTGCCCAAGAACTTTGCCCCAACAGACACACACACCCAGGGCCACCTGCAAGTCTCACCTATGCTTTGCAGGACTGTCCACATCCCAGGTACCCCGAGGCTAGTCCTCCAGTGGGATAAGTGACAGAATCAAAGAAACATCCCAAACATTACAGTGAAGGAGTGGAAACTGGGGAAATTTCATTGGCCCCAGTCCCTTCAGGTGAGAAAGGGCCCTTCCAAGCACATAGCTTCTCACATGCATGTATGTGTGTGTGCACACACCCCAGTACCCACCACACACACATGTTCAGACACAATGGCTCAAAGGCCAGGCAGCCCGGCAGCCCACTTTGTACTGCTAACAAGGGGATCGTAATTACAGGAAGGGACAGCCGGGCAGATAAAAGGATACAAAATTTCAACATCTGTTGCCATAAAGGGATAAGGAGAAGTGAAACGCAAAGTATCAGTTTGGTGTCAGCAGGCAGAGAGCCAATTTCAAAGAGTTTAGGGAGACAGAGGAGACAAGAAAGAAAAAGGAAAGGGGGGAGAGAAAAAGAAATTACAGGGTTCCTTAAAGAGGTAAAGAAAAAAAAGAATGAAAAAAGCTGTCAGTAATACTTTCAAAGGAGAAGGCAGGTACTTAAAAGAAGGGCAATTCCAGTAATCAGCCTGACTGAAGGCCAGGTCCCTGCACAGGGAGGGGCATAGGGCCAGGGGCAAAGACAAAGTCACACCTGGGTGGTATATGCATAGATGGTACCCTCAAGAGCAGCCAGCCTGCCCATTGCCACCTTTAACAAGGTGCTCCTTGCCATTCCAAATGCCATCAGATGCCCCATATTAATGTCCTGTGCCCGTGCAGGAAGATCAAGATGGGTTCCCAGCTCAGAGAGGCAGTTGGTCAGGCCATACCTGTGAACAACCTGATGGCCTTATGAGTGTGCTAACAAGTTGAACAGTGGAAAAGGGCATAAATTCCAGGTATAGGTCAGCTCAAACAGGGCTTCATGATGGGGCACTGTTCAAACTGACATCTGAGCAGGTTTCCTTATGTGGAGTGTTCATGGAGTCGGCTTGAGCAAAGGCTCATCCAGGAAATAAAGAGTACCTGTTAGAATGGGTGGAAAGCCTATTCTGCCCCTACCCTTATTGAGAAGGAAGAGATTTAGGGGCTTTGAGATGGAAACGAAAGCATAATGGGAAACAGGATGGCCCTGGCCCAAAGAGAAGCAAGACACAGGGGATGTGCAAGAGGATGCTACATACATGGCAATGGTATCCAGATGAGGACTCAATGCTCTGAAGTAGCCAAGTACCAAAACCCCCTTGCCCTACTTCATAGTCCTCAGAATGACTTAGGGCTGTAGCTGGCCCCACTGTGATACCCTTCAGATCTGGAATCACAAGCCTCTTCATCTTTTTTTTTTAATATTTATTTTTTAGGTGTAGATGGACACAACACAATGCCTTTTATTTATTTATTTTTTTAATGTGGTGCTGAGGATCGAACCAGGGTCCTGCCCATGCTAGGGGAGCACTCTACCGATGAGCCATAATCCCAGCCCAAGCCTCTTCATCTTGAAGCTCACCTGCCCACAGGCAAGGAGGTATGTCCTGCTGTCAGCACCAATGCTAKATCCAGTTCAAATGCCCCTTGACAAAAAATGTAAACCCACAGCAAAAGCAAGTCAACAGGGGGCAAGGGATGCCTGGCTCATCAGACCCACACAGACCTTCTAGCCACTGACAAGTGTACCCACACAATCAACACCTAGCACCTTCCCTAGGGCCTACTCAAGGGCCCTGGTGAAATGCAAACAGACCACCAGGCCTCAAGGAACTTTGGCATAGGGTCTGACAGGACCACAGGGCCAAGCTGGGGCTATTTCAGTGGTTGGCTGTCACCAGAGTCTACCAAGATGGAGGTGTAGGAGTTACTGGCAATTAAGGGTTGAAAACTAGTCTTGAAGACCATTGACCATCAAAAACAGGAACCTCCAGCAGCATCTCAAGGTTGGGTAAAGGACTTCATTTTTCTTACCTAGACAGGTTAGAAATTCCTTGTCCTCAGGCCCTACTCCATAGAGCTCAGCTTTAGAAAGGGAAAGGGGGACAGCCAGGCCTCTTGCCACCTACACAATGACTGTGTGCTCCTCCACCCCACCCTGCTTAGTCCATGTGGAAAATAGTCCCTAGAGGTTTTGATGGAATAAAGGGCCAGGGGAGCTAGGAGGACACTGAAAGGAGTCTCCAGTCACTCAGTGTGTAGGCTGCCCGAGGATGGGTACCTGAGAGATGCACAGGTGTGAGCTATGGTTCCACAGATGGGAATACAGGATGCCTGCCCCTTAAAAGGTGTCCCAGCCCCCACCATCCTGAGGGCAGCCTAGATGCTCAGAGTACAACTGCCCCTGCAGGATGCCCCCTCCACTCAAGTCACAGCACACACATGAAAGAAAATCCAGGAGCTACTCAGGTTTCAGTGGTGACAGGTTAAAAGCAAAAAATCCAGCCAGAGCAGCACACCACCACCCGAGTACTGCAGGCAATGCTGCTCCACCTTGCAGGTCGCCTGTCAGTCAGGCTTTGGTGTTATTGAAAGATCAAACTGGGTCCTGCCTGGTCATTACCTTAATCCTATTTTCTACATGGCTTTATTATCTGCTTGGGCTTCTCTGGGAAACACAGCTCTGGAGAGTCATCCTGTCCATCCATTTCCTCCCACGGAAAGTAGGCACCTGCACCAGGGCATCTCTCCTCACTCCCTCAACCCCCACTGAGGATAGGAAAGATGTTTATACAAGTCCCAGTTCCTCCCAGAGGTGAGAAGGAGAGTCTTGGGGACTGGAGAGAAGGCAGTGTCAAGTGATGCCCAGGGGAGTCATGCCACATGCAGGACCTACAGGCCAGCCAGGGGATGGAGTGGCTGAATCTTATCTGACTCCAGTAAGAATCAAGGCTGCAGCTATCTTGTGCCCATTTTCATTTGGGTTCATTCTGGATGCAGTAATGACCCAGTGTTTGTGGCTGGTGAGGTCTAAGGAGAATGACATTCGAAGAGTTGGTGCTTTAGAACTCCATCCTGACCATAAGTCCCCCTCAAGGTAACCAGGCAGCTCAAAGACAAGCCAATCTTCAAGATGATGCTGGGCCATGGTGGTATACCCAGCTCGCACTGCCCAGTTGTATGCCATCCTACACACAGGCAAGTGATGATGCTAAGCCTAAAAACTCAGTGACATGACTAAATGAAGCTGGCTTTTGACAGAAGTGCTCATCTGTGACCCACAGCCTTCCTGGAAAGAGCTTTCTTTTTGTGCCACAAGGTCAGCAGTTTTCTTTTCTCTTCCACTGGTCACAATGTCACAGTATTTTGAGGATTAAAAAGCTAGGCCTCCACAAACTCCAGGGTACTAGTGTGGAAACAGCTGTGGGTGGGGAGGAGGCGGGAAGGAGGACAGAGCTTGCACTGGTTGAGTGTCCCTGAGGTGGGGCACTTTTTTACAATAACTTTGTTCATATTCGTTCTGTTAGGTAGGGATAATTATTTCCCATTTTTTAAAGTTCCCACTGTGGAAACTGAAGCCCAGAGCAGCTCAAGATCACAGACCTAGTAGAGTAGTTCTGGAAAACAGCTCTGGCCACACAGCAAAGCTCCCTACAGAGCTCCTCACAGCTTCCAGGCCCATGGCCTGGTCCTGGCGTGCTTCTTCCCACTAGGGAGGGCTCCTCCTAGCTCAGCTCCTTTTAGAAGCAAGAAGGACCAGGAGTGGCAAGAGCTCAGTAGTAAACTCATGGGAACAAGTTTCACAGGCTGCAGGATGCCAACATCTCAGAGGTCTGAGACCCAAGTTTTAGCTAGGCTGGTAATGGTACAACATGACCATTGGCTACACAAACAAAAGTAGATCTAAAATGAGGGAGGTGATAGCACCTGCACTCACCAACCACATCTGGTCTGCTCAGTACTCAGAGGGATAAAAGCGGTCCTAGAGCCAGTGTGATCCCCACACTATTCCAGCTATTCCTCAGACTTGTTCTTATTCACCACACAATGACTCTGAGTCACACCTGCCCTCCTCCCTTGTGTTGCCAGGGTGTAGGGGAAGCTGGCTCTTCCCCTTGCCAGGGTGTGGTTGTGGTTTATAGTGAGCACTGGAACACAATTTTGGCTACTAAATGTGAGAAGTCTGCTCAGGGGGTCCTAGCAAAAGCTTCTTCATCGTAAAAAGGGGCCCAGGCAGGGATGTGTCTTCTTTCCGTCTTCCCTTTGAGTGTTGCCTTATGAGTTAGTGCAGCTGCTCTAAACAAATCTGAAAGCAGGGGCAAAAGCCACTGTGACCAGGGCAGCATAGTAGAAATATTGTCCTTTGTGGTCTCAAACTACTGAACTCATCAACCCTGGAACCACCCAACCACCCAACTTCTGCTCCTTGTCATCTAAGATCATAATAATTCCACTATTGCTTGAGCCATTTTAAATTAGGTCTTTGTTACTTATAATACTATGGCTAATTGTTCTACTGTGTCCAAAAGGAAAACCTGAAGAACCTAGATTTTTTTTCTTCCGAAAAAGAGGACCCTGGAAGAGCAGAACCAATTCAGACATCTACAGCCTATCCTACAAGGGAGAGATTCAGCTGCTGCTTGTCTAGGATCACAGCTCTAGGAAGCAAATGGCCTTAATGAGGGGTAAGCATCCTAACACCCAGGGCAACCTGGAGATGCAGTGTTCTGTTTGGGGATGTACTCAGTTTTCCATCCCTGTTCTTGGATGACTATTAGAAGAGGATGTTATAGGAAAAACCATTTTTAATTAAAATATTTTGTATTACAAAAAAACTTTTGGAAAGATTAATAACAGAATGGACTTTTCAGAAAGAAGACCTTATGAACACTTCCCTAGGGAAGTGGAGAGAAAAGGAGAAGACAAAACTAGATCAACCAGAGGAGGAGACTGGCAAGAAACACACCTTCACTGCTACTGTAAATTTTGGCATTTAAAATTCAGGGTTAAAGCTACATAGCCAGCCTCGGTGTCTATCAACTAATGAATGGATAAAAAAAAAAAATGAAATTGGGCTGGGGAGGGCT